TTTCACAAATAAGAATGTATTTTCCTAACTCTGCCATGTGCACAGATTTATCTGTTTTCTTTCAACTTTTCAATGTACTAAACTTGATTTAGTAATGCTCGCACTGACCGATTCAACTATAACTTTGTTATTTGAATATTTTTGTTATCTGACCAAGTTTACAAATCAATAGTAAAAATATTAGCGATTATTCTTTGATTTAAATAAATGCTATAACAAAAATTACTTTTTTTACTTGTAACAAAATTTTGTGTAAAGAGTTACAGTTATCATACAGATAGTCTAATTTGATTTAATATAATAAAAAAAAACAATCGATTATAAAAATTAATAAAGGTTTGTATTTTTATACGAAACACAAAAAACTTTAATAAATACAAAAATTTCGGATTATAATTTAAGAATGAGCATAGTTATATTAAGTTATTTCATTGTTCTACGTCTATTTTCTTTCCTCGAATAAATTTGTCGTAACGCGGCGTATTGATTTTCAGAGCAGGTTGATGCTGCGAGATCGTCGAGGAGATGAACGTAGGGAAACTCTTACTATCTATAGTACTTCTTTTTCCTGTCTTTTCTCGTCTCGCCACTATCTTTTGATCATAACGCAAGATATGCTTTTCTTCTTGCTCGTTGATGAAATTTGTCAGAGCAAGTAAATGTTGTTGAATCTATATTGTCGATTGAAAAATACAGGTTTCCTTTGAGAATACATATTAATAATTTTTCCGTTTGTGTTTCATTTTTAGAAATTGCATTATGTATCGATGAACAGCTTTTCAAATTAAACAGTTTTAGACAGTATGTTACAAATTTTGATCTTTTATCTTATTTAATATATATTGATTACTTAATAATTTGGGAAAAATGTTTGTTTTTTAAAGAATTTATAGAATTCTATAAAAGAATTTATATAAGAAGAATTATTTTAATTATAAGAAAAATTCTTAATTTATTTTTGTACAAAATAAATTTAAAAAATGTAATTTATGAATAATGTGGATTAAATAATATAAATTATGAATAATAATCTACCTTTATTAATCATATTATTAGCAAAATTGACTACAATTGCCAATTAATTTAATCATACTAGTATTATATAATTAAAAAATATTGAAATATTAGTACTCTCAAAAATATAAAAATATTGAAAAGATATAGAACAAATAATAAATAAATTATTATTTTGAAATATTCTTATTGATTAACATCTTTAACCACATATATCACATTATTATATATTGTGATATATTATATGTATAGTACGTAAAAATAAATATTTTTCTTAGATATTGTAAATAGTTTAATAATAGCTAACAATTTTTATATTGCTTAAAGCATCGATTTTAATTATTGATTTGTTGAGACAGATAAATTTCTGGATAAATAGAAATTTGAGAAATATTAGGTTGGAACAAAAGTTTGTAGCGCTACGAACTTCAAAATTAAAGCTGTAACTTTATTAAAAATATAAATGAAGCTGTAGACTCATTTATCGTTCCATCCTTTTATACTACAAAGATACATAATTCACAAAATAAAGAATTAAAATATACACTATTTGTTTATTTTACTATTTTTATATTACTATAACAAAAGTTAATAGAACATTTGCATAGAGTGAACGAGTTGACTACGTTTTATCACCTCGACGCCGACTTCGCAACACATATCTCGTGGTTTGCATGGATTTGCGGTTTCATCCTTGTTCGCGACTGTTCTTGGTAATGTCGTAAAACTGTCGTGCAGATGCAGAATGTATATGGTGCTTTGTTTTAACGTTTATAGAGGTGATTTGAAAAGTAGTGAAAAGAATTAAAATTAAATATTTTCCAAGAATAGATTGAATCTAAAAAAATCTTAAAAAATTTAAATTTTTTTAAAAGTAGTATGTCCATCATTCGTGAAAAAATTTAATAAAAAAATGACATATTATTTTTTAAGATAGAAGTTTTCTTTATTCTTCATTATAAGTAGAAAATTATTAATTAAAAATAATATTTTAATTTTTCTATGGAAAAGAATATGGTTCATATGGACATTATTGTATATACAATTCGAGACTAATTTAATATGGTCATGTGGAACATGTTTCATATTTTTACAAATTGCATAATATAATTGACGAAATTTATTTCAGAAATTTGTAATATTTATTAAACAGTTGCGCGCTTATTTCTGTTTTAATATAAGATCTCGATAACAGATCTTTTACTTTGATGTTTGACTCAGCACTTGTAAAGGAAGCAAATATATATCGCAACGTAGATATATGTATATGTCTAGTTAAAATTTTTTAAACATGAATTTTTAGTATTTTTTATTTAAAGAGGATACTGAAATACAATTTTTGTTAAAAAGAAAAATGCATATTGCGTTTGAATATAAGCATGCCTAAAAGAGAATACTTTCTCATCATTATCAACCATCTTCTTTTGAAAAATTATGAATGCAGACATCAAATAGTTTCAGCTAAATTACAATATTTCTTGGTTAAATTACTTAAATTAAAGAAATCTCGTTTAATCGAAATATGCAGTTAAAAAAAAAAACTTTTATTTCTTTAAATATTACGCTATTTAATTAAAGAGAAAAACTTATAAAAACTTTTTATTACTAGAAGTAATATTGAAAAATAAATAAAACGTTTTATATAATAAATTCGCAATATTTATTTATGTATTGAGGTATGGTAAGCAGATGCTAAGGTATATGTATGCCCTGTATTATAGGCAACCATTTATTCCTATGACGCGATGTAAATAGGTTTGATTGTACTAAGGCGTTGTGCAATGACTCAAACAAGAGGTTGACGAACTTCATATTTTGCTTTGTTGTCACTACTTGCTGCAATTTTGTTAACAAAGAGCTTTGCCGCGATTGTTTTGTGTTTTGAAATATGTTTATTCATGTAATTTTAAATATTTGCTGTGAAAATATAAACGTTAAATTTAAGAGACGTAATCTTATTGAAAAAATAAGTAGGTATATACTTATTTTTATTATCTTATATGCATTCTATATTTAACTCTAAATATATAACAAAAATAGAAGGAATAGCTGCAATAATAAGATTGTTTTTGAGAAATAATTGTATGGACTAATATAAAGGTATGAAAAAGAATTTTTTTTTCATTTTCATAATGAATATATAATTTTCGTAATGTATGGCATGAATGCAATTAGAGCGTTTTGTGCTGCAGTCTCTTGGTTTTCAAGATCATTAAATTTTACACCATTAGAATTTCATTTTATTGTAACTTTTTAATAAATCTTCTATGAATTTATGTTTACATAATATTTTTTAATTTTTGTTTATTTATATAACGCCAAACATATATATATATATACACCTGAAATATTTTATACAATAAATGGTGAACTCTGTTAAAATAATAAAAAATTTCTTATGTCATCTCTTTTTCTTCCTATTTCTACACAATGACTATAAGCAATCACCAGTCATTAATTATGTGACATCGTATACGCTTGAGATTTCACGATCATTTTTTACTTTTATAACAATATTTCACGCTTTTCTCTAGTTTATTTTCTATGACACATTCATAGTTATTTTACTCTTTCTACTTTTTGTTCCTGTCGTAAGTAACATTGTCATAATTAATACGATTACTCAATGATGAGTAATCGTGTTTAGCAATCACTGGAAGTAGTGGTGTTTGATTCACTTGCTTCTGCATGCAATCGCCACGTTTGTGATATCTACTTTTTATACATGCAAAATTATTAAATATCGTCTTGCGAAGAAAGAATTATTTAATGTAAAATATAAATTTTGTCGAAACGCGATATAAAACTATATTTCTGATTGATGTTGACACGGTCAAAACGTGAAACAACAGTGTTTTCTTTTACAAATTCTAATTATTGTGTAGCTTCTTCTAACGAAAACAATATAAACATTGTGGTTCAATGGTGACATTGATCGGTTCTTCGTCACTTCTTATAATGGCGATTTTATATGTTGTGCCGTTGTTGTGCCGCACCCATGCGACTGTTTTGTGTTAAACACGGTGTTCACAGACCCGTGATAGTTTTATCTTGAATGTCTTCTTGTTCATTCTCTTATTCTCTCATTTGTTTCTCGCTTTTTTTTATTCTAGATACTTTTATATCCTTCTTCCATTTTACTCTTTTTTTCGTTTGTCAATTACACATTTAGATACATTTACTGATTTATATAAGGAGTTTAAATTTTGTTTTTTAAAATTAATTGTATCTATTATTTATTTTATTTACTTTTGATAACTGTATATATCTTTTAAAATTCTGCTTCATTAAATTTTCTTAGAATACAAGATATCGTAGAACAAAAGATCATTTTGGAAGGTGATAATATCAGTCATTTTAAGCAAAAATTTTCGTATATGAATATGTGTTCTATTCCAAATAGTTTCCAAGATTGAATATGTATTTGCGAAATTATTGTTAAAAAAGAAATATTACGTACTTTTTCTAATAATTGATTGTTCAAATAAAATATGTTTTGAAGTTTATAATAACATAAACGTATTTTTCTGTTCGAAACATAGTTTATATGAATATTTTTGCTTAAAATTATCGATATCATCAATATCTCTCGGAATATTGATCTTATCAAAACCAATATTAATATTTTTCCTCCTGGGATATCCTGCATAATCTCTTAAACGAGCTATAAAAATAAAACATTAAAAAATTTAATTAATTTAAAATCTTTTTTATTTGCATAATTGTTTGTGATTTATATTACGATGCTCTATATAATGTATTTAGTTTTTTAAATTCAGATAGATAGCCACAACAGTGTTATTATTTATTAATTATATTTTATATTTTGAAAAATATGTGCAGTGTGAAAAAAGTATCCTTTTACATTACACACAGTGATAGACACACAGTAATACATTATGTAATATATCTATGCTTTATATTACGATATATATATATATAATATATATTATACATATATATATACTATACATATATGCTATACATATATGTTGATATATATTGTAATGCAGGTAAAAATGGAGTTATATTAATCCATAAATAATTTGTAATTAAAATGGTAGCTTAAACGTTTGGGTATATTGTTCCACGTATTGGACGAATTGGCTCATAACCTGGTCGGTTAATTGCTTAATTTCTGTATTCATACACTCTGCTACAGTGGGAAATGTTTCGGTGCTTTTATATGCCGCATCTATAACTTTTTTTATTGATTCAAAAATCTTCTTTATAACCTGAAAAAAATATATTAAAATTCTCTTTTAAAAGGTCTATTGAACAATTATAATTTAACACATTAAATGCTGTGCTGATCACCTATGAACAACATTTGAATTTTCATTGCCGAACTAGTAATCGGCATTGACCGGCGTTACTAAATTTAAAAAAATATATATAAAATTTGTACAAAATAATATTTGCAACTCTTAATAAAAATATAATTAATATTAAAATGAAGTCATTTCTAAAATAATGAATATACTATACATGAAAAGTTTGCATAATTCAAATATATTAAATAGTATTTAAGCGAAATGTGTGTGGATTTAATAATAAAAATTTTACTCCGACATTGTCGAAAAAACAAGCAGATAGATTACATATATATTTAATGTATTAATCAAAGTTTTGTATAAACGTCTTTACGCATTAGAATGCAAGAGTACATTTTTACATTACCAAAGTTTTGTATTATTATAAAAATATTTATAAATTATTATAAAAAGAATGTTTAAAATTAATTGAAATACTTACATTAAGGAAGCATTGAGGCGCATCCGAATCGTGAATACAATTTAATGAAGCATCTTGAAAATTCTTTAGTACATTTTGCACATTTTTGGTTGCATTAATCAATTCTTCAATTTCAGTCAAATTATTTTTCATAATGCACGTATCAACAATTTTCATTACTTGCTTGGTAGCTTCTTGCATATTGTTGCTTGGCGTAATTGTTGACAGTCCTGTTTGGGGTGCTACAAGTCCATCTGTTAACTATATGAAATTTCAAAAATTAGCAATATAAGATATTGCCATTAAAAATTTTTCTGTTGGCATAAAAAAATTTATTTTTTTAATAATACAATTGAGAATTAATTTTGTGTGTGTGTGTGTATGTGTGTGTGTGTGTGTGGGTGTGTGTATGTACACGGAGAGAATTTTTAGAATTTAACCTGAAAATATGATACTCGTGGGACTATCGTATTTCGAAGAATTTTAATGCAAATCTCTCTCATTCATCAATAAAACTACAATAAAGTATAAAATAAGTTTGATCAATTTTACTGAAGTGCATGGTAAAAATCTTTAAAATATTCTACCATAACTACCATATTTTCAGAGTAAATTTTAAAAGAAAATTCTCTCCATGTAAGAATAATTCTCTACAGGCATATACATACTTACATATATATTGCATATATTCTAAAATAAATGATCCAAAATATATATTAAATAAAATTGTATTAAAAATACTAATAATTGAATGGATTTACTTCTTGTAGAAGAGATATAAATTTTTTGCTATTAATTTAATTACAATCACGTAATATGTTACGAAATTATGATAGCGAACATATAATTATTTTTTGTGTTTTCATTGTTTTTTAATGAATACCATTCATTTGTAATATCTACGTTAATCAGCATTAATCATAGTTAAATTTTTCCATATTATATATTTTTGCTTTTTTTATTTTTGATGTATTATAGACTAACCATTTAGAATTAATATAGATGTATTAAACTCAAATTTGTATTAAATATTATTAAGTAAAGAATAAGTTTACTATCACGTATTGTAATAAACTGTTAATTTAATTTTGCAAAATAATTGATGGAATAATATTTTTGCTCTATGATACAGATTGAATTTAAAACTGCTTATTTTTAAATATAAAATAATATTAAAATGTAACTAATTTATATGATTTGATATTTCCATATTTAGCTAGTCACATTGAAATTAAATCTTACTCTATCATAAGTTTCCTTTCCATTTTGGATTCTTTCTTTCACGTTTTCAATCGTATTTGAAACTTGATTTTTCATAGTATCCAAAAAAACTAGCGGTGTACCAAGAAGTCCTGCCTCTGCTGTTTGAAAAATCTAGAATTATATGAATAAATTCATAAAATCAATACGTAAAATATATAATAAATGCATAATTATTTTAAATATTCGAAAAACAGAAGAATACTTTCACTTGCACACATATAATGTACTTTATATATTTATATATAAATTATAAAATAAAATTTGTTAAGTTTTTATAATTGTTAAATATTAACTTTTTACGATCTAAATAACACAATGTTTTAAATTCAAAAATTAAAAAACTTACGCAAACAGCTGCAATTATGCAATTTATGATTGTAATTTTTGTCATTGTTGTCCTAACTTTTGCGTATTACTTCTTAAGACTTCTGAAATAACACTCCTTTTTTTCCACTTAAAACTAGCGTTTATATAAGATATTCACTTCCAACTTGTAGAAGATATCGTTGCGATATTCAAATTAACTTGTCAAACTGCGAGTACTTACATCAATATGCAATTACTCTAATTAGCCAAAGTAAAAAATAGTAGTAATGAACGAAACGTATTACTTAAAAGATAGTTTTATAATTTATTTTTATGATATATTACTACAAATCCATGCTCCGTCTAATTTTATTTTTCTTATGATAATTTAAATATTTCTCATATATGAATATGTAACTGCACGGAGAGAAATCTGTTACGATTTTGACACGGACAGTCGATACTACTATCGCGTGGCCTATTTCAATGCGCTAATAGCACCATCGTTCAATCTGTTTATGCATGAAATCGTGCAATCATGGCACGAGAATCGCTATGGACGCTATGAAAAAAAGAACGTGATGCGTGCTATGGTCGTTACAGCTTTTTACGATAGTCGCACGAGCGCAGTACGCATAAAGCACCCCACTTCAATTGTTCAAATGGTTCTTTTTCCTGTATAATAAATGGGCTATATAAATTTTGACAAAAAACTTTAGAAAACAATTTCTTATAAAAAATGTTATTATATATATATATGTATATATATATAAAATCTTATAAAAATATTTTAATGATATTTTATCAAATAAGTATTATTTGCAACACAATTATTGTAGATTCTATAATTACTAACAATAAGTTGTTATCAGATAGCACCATGTCCAAAATAGGGACATAAAATTTTTTACAAATGATAATAATCTTTTTAGATTATCGTCTCATCTCCTGATTTAAACATGTGTGTTGTTTGGGCTCTGGACTAAAGTATAATTATTTTGCTAATGTTATGAAGATTGACTGGAAATGAAAACCTATATGTTAAAAAAATAGTTCACTTATTAGATTAAAACATTCATAAAAGAATTATTCTGAATATTTCAAAAGATTGACTAATTTTAAGATAGTATTGCTTAAAAATTAGGTGTAAATTGAAACTTTTTTGAGAAATTATTTTCTAATATCAGAATGTTTAATTTCTTTTCTTGGTAACATATTTCTATAAATTTAAACAATTTATTTTTTATTAATTAAGCATTAAAACATTTTTAATTTTATGCAATAAACTTTAATGAGAGAAATTGTAGTATAATATGAATATTATAACAGTTCTTTGGGTCATTATTTGAAATCGTATTATATTTTATGATTTGCAAGAATTTGTGACTCTTTAACGTGTGATCAGTATATATTCTTGATAACGCTACAAAATTCTTTCTTGGAACATATATGGTACATATATATGCTCCGTTTTAACCTTTACAGTGATAAAGTTAATTATGCGTAAATTGATTCATATTATCAACAAAATTGGCAATTTTAATTCAAAGTAGCATACATTTCTATTGATATATATATATATATATACATATATACAAGCTAAATATAGTAATTAATATTTCTTTTCCTGATAAATAAATGAATACGATTTCGTTTTATTATATATAATACTATAAAGTATATGCTCATTCCTTTAATCTTATTCTTTTACTCTTTGTTTTATCATTTTACTTTCCTCTTGTATTCTGTTGCTTTTCGTAATACTTGTCATTTAAGTTAATTATCTTTATTTATTAATCACACCTTCAGTCATTAAATTTGTTTTTTATAATTGTAGTTTTTTAATATTATAAGGTATACTTTATAAGGTATGCATTTTCTATGGTATTCCACAGTTTTGAATAAATAATGCAAGGATTATAAATATGTATTAAATAAATTTTATTTCTATTGACAATTGAATATGGGAGAATGACAGGTTGTAGAGCGATTGTAACATGCGCGCGCGGTAAGACATACACATACCCTTGAATTGTTGCTAATGTAACATTGATATTCACGATTGCTACACTAGATATATGCAGTTACTTATTTTAATATAAAAAGCCTCCTTTGTAAAATAAGTTATTATAATTTTTTATTAGTAATTGAATTTGACAATCTTAAAGTGTGTGAATATACTGTAATTAAATTATCTTAATGTAAATATAAATTTTATGATCATTTTTTGTATTTATATATTTAGTGAAATCTACTGATTTATCCTCAAGACATTGTTTGATCAAAGTTTCGGAAATTTGCCGTTTAAACTATAGTAAATTCGACTGAATTTCGTATTTGTCCAATTTCTGCAGATACTTAACGAATTAAAAAGATTTTGAAGTCGAAGCTTGTAATTTTACGATATAATTCGTTGTTGAAGGTCTACAATAAATAATAGATTTCTATTAAAAATATAGAATTTTTCTAAAACTACTTAAGAAGTAAATTCATTATAATATTAATTTTATTTAATAATAAATCGAGATGACTTTTTTCTTAAAGAAAATAAATAGATTTTGATATGTTCAATTATTTGGCTAATAGAGTTGCATAGGAATCTCTCTCTCTCTCTCTCTCTCTCTCTCTAAAACAAAACATATTATTAAGATTAGCATACAGCCGATGAAAATGCGAGCACGTTGATTACCGTTAGAACCAGCCTCACGAGACATATCCATGTGTAGGATACACATATGCACGCATACGCATGTATATTTGCGCTCGTACGTACAAATTCACCCCTATAAAATATTCCCATCGGAGTGGCGCACGGGGTGTCGTGGGAACGGTCTCGCTCGATATAAAATGCCAAGCACATTTTTATGGGACGTGTATACGTTCAAGTAGCTCGGGGATTCCTTTGTAACGAATCGACGACGAGTCTTCTCGCCTGGGAGTCGCGCATCGAGTCAATCCAATGAGAATATATTTTTCTTCCCTCCTCCAAAAAAGAGTATCATGACAGATACAATTCCAGTTTACGGAGCGTGTACGCGCGCGTCAGCCAGATAATTATCAAATTCCAGTGTAATACATAATAACTCAAAACCGTCTGATTTTTTCTATTTTACAAAGTGATAAATTGTTATTGTATAGTACATTAAGTAATGATATCAAAAACTTATTTTATTACTACTTTATTTATTATATATAAAGCATTGTCATGAAACGATAATTTATTGAATTACTTCGTACACATTTGGACATCACAAAAGCATTCTCTAATTAAATTCTTTTTCTGGCAATTAGTTGAATATAATAACTATAAATCTTAACATTTATGTATTACGCGTGCACTACATATTATATTAGCATTTCATATTTGAAATTTTTATTAATGTATTATGTATTAACTTATAGATAATTTATTTTAATTAATTCTAATTTTAGTTTAATTTATTCAAAATTTTCTTATTCAAATAATAAATTACTGTTTATTAATATAATAAATTTAATTTTTTTTAATGCTTGTCGATAACATTAACAAATTACTATGTAACTTATATAATTTATATAACTTATATAACTTATTGTATAACTTACGACTTACATTTATACGCATATACATATAAGTTCACATATAAAAAAAATTGTTTTTTCATTAGATGCAAACATTTTTTTTAAAGAAGTTTTAAATATAGTAGATTTGAGGCGTCAAGTGTCATTCGCGGTGCGATTGTCTCGCGATCTGTAGATCCGGATTCAATCCCATCTATGCCCACATATACGATTTTTCGCGTTTAATTCTTAGGAAAAAGTGTTTCAATATACTGAATAGTTAATCAGTATATTGAAATGCTTTTCTTAAGGAAAGGAACCGAAAATGGCTCCAGATGATTAAGAAATCTTTAATCACTAGTGCCATTCAGATCCGGTATTAAACTGTAGATTCCGCATATATCAATAGATATATATATGGATCCTCCAGCCTGGGGGCTGGACATTAGGCTAACAATTATTTAATTCCGGAAAAAATCCATTATTACTGAAATCTCATTAAAGGTTCTGTGCTCTATGCAAAAGTTAAAGGAACATATATATGTACATATATATATATATATATTATATATGTAAGAGTTTTAAATACATACACAATATTTATAATATATTATATTTATAATTAAGTGTTATCTTCGTCAGAAATAATTTGTATGCACATTGTGAAAAATAAAATTTTAACTTAATAACGTATAGTGGACTTCCTGAGCATGCAAAAATGTTAAAATTAACATAATAATGCTAATTTTAACATTTTTGTATGTCTCAAAAAGTCCACTATATGTCTTTAAGTTAAAATTAACATTTTATTTTATACAGTATATTAATAATAGTAATACCGCAATATAATTATTCTTTTATATATTTACTGTACAATTTTTTATTTTTCAGGAAGAAGCGTAAACTACTGGAGTAAACTATAAAATTTTTGGTAAGTTATTAGAGTTGTATTTCCATTTCATCTCATGTTTTGAAAATTATATTAGATTTTCTGTTATTATTTTTCAATTCTTATTTCTATGTTTCTCTGCAGTAAAGATGTAAATACTGAATAGGATAGTGATAGAATAGATAGTAAAATCTACACATCTGCTCGTTCATTCTGATTCATTTCCTGTACATTCGAATATCGATGACATATGCTCCCGATACTTCATATGTTCTTCATACAAAATATACGAAATAGGATCATAAGTTATAGAGATATAAGTTAGATGCAAAAATAATGCAACGTTGCATAATGTCTCGTGTCTGCGCTTATGAATAGCAAGTTTACGTGTATTTCATATATATATTTTTTCTTATAAAGATTATATGGAATCGTGTACAAAATATACAAATCTGTATGGAACATGCAAATATAAAAGTAAATATGATATAAATCTAAACGCATGACAAATTATTTATTAATAAAGTCTATTTATTTCTTTTTGAACTTTATTTGAAAATAATTATATTTAAATATAAAATTTTACATTTAAATTTCTTTACATTAGTCTTGAGAATTTATATTAAAATTTGTTTTATACCACACAAATTAAATTATTTTAATTAATTAAGTATGTTGTATTAAAGTATGATGTATGAAAAAATATTTTTATAAT